AATATATATATAATATAGTATACATAATGTAATATAATATAATATATCGGTATATGATAAAATAATATGAAATATGTATATATGTATATTATATGAAATATCATGAAGGAACGGCAATGGTGGAATCCCCGTACGGTACAAAGTCCATTTTCATCAAATTAGGCCTATACCAACATATTGTAGTAGGATTGATTAGTGTATTGAAAATTAGAATAATTATTAGTGAGATTTACATTTAAATATTTATATTTTTGTGAGATGGTAGGGGAGAGTGGGGCTAGTTGCATCGGGGGTAAGTTGAATCAGTCCGTGTTTATCCAACGTATTGAAATTGGGTGAAAATTTAAATATTAGCACGTTTTTAGCATAATTTCATGTTTTTTGGCATAATTTCATGTTTTGAAAAACAAAAAAAAATATCCCAGGAGGAATATTTTTTTTTCTTAAAATGTTGGGCAATCTCACACATCATCTCGTACATGTATCATCTCGTACACATAATGGTAACATGTAATCATTTCACTGCTACCGGGTGTGCGATATGCAGCTTCGTCACCGCAAGAAACTGAGAATTGACCAATGTTGCTCCATTTGAGAGAACAGGCACCTTATTGGACAGAATTGAGGACCAAGCTTTCTTCTTAAGTAACAGTTCACGCTACTATAGGAACACCTTAACAAGAATATTACTTTTAGATGTTCCACTTGTGTATAACCAACTTTTTACTTTTTTTTTGTTAATGCCCTATTAAAAAAAATTCGTAGGCTAAAATAGCCAAAAACTAGGTTTATATCACTACAGCAGTGCATATAGGTCTGGACCGTTATTCAAGACAGTAAAAAATACTATGGGTTTTAAGATAGGCATATCATGCTAAACTAGTGTACAGATATAAACATTATTAAAAGCAACGGCGGCGGAAATGTTGATTGATGTCTGTAACGTTTCTTTGAAAAACCCACCCTCGAGCATTGAAGAAAAAATCGCCAGCATTCGTGAATTCTGTATTTAGGTACCGTATATGGGGGAGGTAGATTTTTTTTTCAAGATTATAAAATGTGTTCAACTTTTAATTTTAGAGTGCCATTTCCGGCCATCTAGAGGTGCCATAATCATAATTTTTTTTACCTCAACCCAACCAATTGTGGGGCTGAGGCGGGTGGACATTCTATTTACGCAAGACTCTCCCTGAAGCCCTCTATTTTGACTTCCTGGACCCGCCACAGTTGGACTATCATTTCAGAGCTGCATAGAATGGTAATTTTTATTCATCGGGGAAAAAGTGAAGTTTTCCCATATCAAGGATAATCCTCATATTAAATAATTCATTGAGCTCGTGGAAGCAAGGTAATTCAACAGAAGGACGCACATCTCCGCTTTCGAACATAGCCCAGATGCTCGCTTCGCTCGCATATTCGAAATTATGAAATTCCCCCACCCCCACTTTCAAAAACGTTCTGCCGCCGTTGAATAAAAGCTTGTTAAAAACCAAAGTACCTGTATTTTTTATTTCACAGTTATAATGAATATGCACTCATACAGTACTTAAATGGTCCCATGATGTGACTCTTTTAGATAGTTTATATTTTATGACATATGTAAAAAATTACAAACCGTTCAGTAAAAGACAGTGCTCCAGAGCCAAACATATTCATAGGCCATAAAGTCTTGGGCGTATGCTGAGTGTGGTGCAATCACATACCCTTAAATTGTATTTAAAAAAAACAAATATATGCCTATATTATTTGTAAGGCCTGTTGTATAGGCCTATAGACAGCAAAACAAAACAAAACAAAAAAAAAACAAAAAACAAAAAACAAATCCAGGCCGACCCCCATTCCCAAAAATCATCTTATGCTTGGGCGGCAATACTGTATAATTATAGATTTTTTTCAACCTTTATGGGGGTGTATATTTAGCGTGAGTAGGCCTGCATTTAAATTTTTATCGCTTGCAACGCCGGCTCTAGTATTCTTATTGTATCTCTATGGATTAGACGATTAGACCGAGTTAATATACTTTCTCAACAAAGAGGCATATTTTAAGCACGCAAGTAAATTTTTGCCAGGTTAAACATTTTGATTTTGAAGCTAGATGATACCCATTAAACGAAGGCCATTTTTGTAAATGTTGAGTCGTTTTATTTAGGTAAACTGTGGATGAAACATTTCCTAGGCCTAAGCTTAACATTTTCAGAGATACCCAAAAGAAAGACTTGTGTGACGATGGGGGCAACTTGCATCACGTGGTGCAACTCCCCCCCCCCCTCATCATAGTGTAGTTTGCATAGCTGCTGACTGACCCTCAAACATATATTCAAATTGCATTTATTTAGTATTAAGTTATATTTAATATATATGTCTCCTTGCTGCAATGAATTTTTGTTTACTGATTATAGCTACAAACCTAAAGAACATTCAAAAACAAAAGTAGTGTATATATATATTGTACTTCTGATAGGGTTTTATTTTCTCATATATAATTTGAATATGCCATTACTGTACTGCTGTATGTTTATTTTATTTATTAATTTCAACCATCTTTAAAGAGGGTAACCCTTCCAGTTTAGCCCAGTAGGTTAACTGATATTCAGGGGCCCTCTTTAATAAAATTAAAGAACAGTATAAATAACATCATTACAACATAATAATAATAATAATAATAATAATAATAATAATAATAATAATAATAAACAATCCTCATAACAAGTCTTAAAAATATTAAATTGACTTACATAAAGACAATTCAAAATAGAAGTTTAATTTATAATGCTAAATGGCCACTCAGTGTTACTCTGTTTACTACAGTGATCTCGTTATAAAATGCAAGGCTACCGTGCACCATTTTGCTGCATTTGAATTTACAGGAAATCCCGTGGTTTAAATTTGTGGTGTAATATTCGCCTACTTTCCTTTAGACAAATTCTCAGCATTCATCATACTTACAGTATTCTTAGGAAATTTGGCAACCGAAATAAATTATCTGGCACACATTTAATTTAAATATGTTCTTCGTTATACTGGAAAACCTGTCTCTTATACACATCTAGATGTGTATAAGAGACCAGCTAAACGATGTCACAGTAGTTGTGTACACCGAGGTTATTATTATTAGTAGGCCTATTACGGAAATGTAAATAAAAACATTCGAGAGAACACATAAATACAAATACAACACTTTGCTAAGTTATCGTACCTTGATCGTCACGCTCAGTCATTCCAATGGTACCACCAGTGTAAATAACAAACACCTTTGACAAAGTGGTGGCCTCAGAGTACTTGGCATTTAGTTTCTCCGGTTCTTCGGCGGCGAGATTCGTAACAGTTTTGGTACTGGAAAGAGCCATAACATTTAAGTCTTGGAGAAAAAAAAGGGCAGAAAACCGAACAAAAGAAATTATGGGATGAGGTGTCCAGTCAATTCAAACTTTCCATCCAGAATATGTAAAATTGAAGTTTTGACAACTTTATATCCGATAGTAGTAATGGGCAATAAAGTTGAATGTTTTCCTTCTTCGTAGAGGGCGGTAAATACAACAATATGTTGTATTTTTAATATAGGCCCTAGTCTTAAAGGATAAATATTTCTTAATAAAACAGAAAAATAAAACTTCAATCGCTAACTCAAGAAATTATATTACTGTATATATGAAATAGTAGAAATTATTTTGAAAATTCGTTTTTGTATTCAAAAAAGATCACTATATGATTAGAATAAAATTAATGGATTCTAAAACAGTTTATTACAAAATTATAAAAATAAGTTACTCATTAATCTCATTGCGTAAATTACTGTTCAGCATTTCTCGCTGTTCTTCGTTCCGATCCCATTTGCTAAGGACGTAGAGAAGTTTTGCCAGTGCAGCCTCAGGAGTAATATCTCTCCCTGGAATTACACCGGCATCTAGCAAAACCTAGGTGAAAAAAGTACAATTACGTAACGTAAATTTAAAAAAAAAACAAAAAACGATCATTGAATCAATTCAATCAGTGATCTGCCTTTAGCAGATTCATAGCAACCACTTCCGCCATCTTTCACGGTCTTGCACTTCCTATATTTACACCTTGATATGAGCTTTCGTGTTGCAGTCTCTCCGGGAATGCACCTCTTTCGACCTCTGGTTCTAGAATCTGGTTTCTGTGCGTTAAAAATGTACTTTGTCTTCATATTGTGGTCTTTGGTCGAAATTTAACAATCACGACTTTTACTAGGATACCTTAACTCTACTTTTTCCCTCAACATTTTTATGATAATAAACACCTTTAAATGGCAACTACAATCTTATGGACATAAACATAGTAATTAGAAATTAGGCCTGATGATAACTTACTCTTCCAGTTTCATAGTCACTTGAAACAACTCCTTTTACACACTGCGTACAGTTTAGAATCAGCACGCCGCCAACAATTGCTGTTTTCAATTCATTTAAAATGCTAGGCTCATCTGTATTAGTAGGAGCATTTCCTGCTCCATAGGTCTCTAGGACTATGCCTTTCATGTAGGTGTTCTTTTGATTCTCCGGTTGTATGAAATTTCGCACCTAAATTAACAAAATCAACGAAAAAGAACGAAAATTTTCGAAATATGTCGGGCTTAAGCCTCAATCACATTGAATTCGAAGTTTCGAAACAGAATGCCTACCGAACCGATCAGAAAATCAGATCAGTGTGTAAATAGAGACGGTGATGTTCAGCGAATCGGAAACGCGGTCGGAATTTCGGTTCGAACCCGATGTGAATTCAGCTTTGGGGATGTCGCGGAAATGGAATAACATTGTAGATTATAAAAGTTGGAGCCGTATTAGCCAGTAACAGGAAATACAAATAAAATAAGTACGATATATACTGTAGTAGTGTATTGCCTCATTTACTTATTTTGAATGATAAACAATAAAAATATAAGTTAAGAAATACTGTAAAAGTAAAAATGATAACATCTGCAATTATACTCACTGTTTCCACAGTGATTCCAGGAAAGAGCTTCAATATGCCAACATAATTTTTGTTGAACTGTGTGATACCACCGTGTGTGAGAGGTTTCTGTTCTGATCTCTTCATGTCTAAAATCAATTTTTACGATGTTGTCACAAGCAGTATTCGTTATTACGTAATATAAAAATGTTATTTTGAATAATAGAAAAATTACAGTTTTATAGAAAATTCAACTGCCGGAAGTAGTAGTTATGCTTTGTAGCGTTTATTCAAAATAAGTCAATTGATTGAATGTTAACCATTATTAACATTAACCGAAACATCTCCCCTCCCCTCCTCCCACCCCCACCCCCACAAAAAAAATGTTCCCTGAATTTGACCGAGTCACTAATGCAGGTTAGGGAGTAAGGCAGTGGCGGCGCCAGCGGGGGGGGGGGGACCTCTAGATGTGTATAAGAGACAGTAGTTACACCCATAAATACTTAGCCCCGCCCCCAGTTGGACATCTTAGCTCTCCCCCCCTTCCCATAAATTATATCCTAGAGCCGCCACTGGAGTAAGGTAGCGAGTTACAGTCCACCGCAGCGTTGGGGAAGAAAGATTTCTAGAAACTATTAGTTTTAGTATAGTCTAAAGGAGAATTCAATCTTTCTGGAGAATCGCAAGATGAAAATGTTTCTGTTTTAAAGGACATAAGTCACTTTCTTTCCCATTTCTTCAGAAGCTTTAAGTCACTTTGAATTATTCCTTCACAGTCAGCTGTCGATTCAATTGGACGATAAACCATACAATCAAACAAGCAAACAGAGATTAATAACGATCGGTTGTTAGTTTCAAACAAAGGAAAAATTTATGCGCTGTACTATAGGGGGGGGGGGGGCGCCATAAAATGGGAGTGGAACTTAATTTAGCGATAAACCAAAAATTTTTGCTTAAACGAGAATTTAGGTCTGGTACCTAATTTCTTGATGGTACCTGAATTTTCGTGACACCATCCAATAAGAAAAGACGAGATCCAACTATGAAAAGTGATTAAGCTTGTACAGTAGTCTCTGATCTTTGCAAAATCGAGGACTACAGCATCAACTTGCTTGGTGTTTCCACTTGATTTCCAAATATTGTTGATAGTTGTAAGACGTTGTGTTTCACATGTTCGTCTGGCTCTGAACCCATGCTGGCAGTTACTCAGTGCATTATGCTGGTCAATGTGTCCCATGATATGGCTACATATTACAGGTTCAATCAACTTGCAGCATATTGAAGTAAGTGAGACGGGCCTGTAGGTAGCTGGATCTGTACGTCTGCTTTTTTAAAATACTGCTGTGATGTTTGCCTTGGTCCAAGCAGATGAAACAACACCGGAGCTGATACTTAGGTTAAATAATTAATTGGTGAGTATAGGAGTAATTTTTACAGCACATCTGCCAAGCACAAACGAATGGATACCATCTGGGTCAGGGGCCCTTATATAATGACATCTGTAGAAGCAATTTCAGGATACCATCTGGATGTATAAGGTTGAGGATAGTAGGAAGTTTTGCACCTGCTATTTTAGGTAGAGCACCGAATCCTTTACGTGTAAAAATAGACTGATACTGCGAACTTAGGGTCTCTGCCTTCTCAAATGCTGAGTTGACAAGTTTTTGACCGTTATAAAGAGCAGAAATACCAGATGAGTCTCGACGTCGCCCCTTGATAAATGACCAGAATCTCTTGGAGTCTGTGCATAAAGAATCAAAAACAGTTGTGGAGAGATATTCATGTTCGGCTTTCCGCAGTTCTTTTTGAACTGCTGTCATTGTACATAATTACAATTTTAGTCTCCTCCATTTTTATATGGCCTGCATGTTGCTGAATCAACTAAGGGATTTGAAATACGTGAGTGACTACACCAGTTGGCTGGGGGAGGGGCGGGGTCCAGGGGTGGAGCTCCGGTTGGGGCGTGATCCGTGGTGGTCCGACGATCTGAGCATTTTAAGCTCTTTTAAAACGATTTCAGGGAGTGTTTTTTGACAATACAGGTACATAAGCCAAAATATTTGTATAAAAGCGTATAATTTGAGTTTCAATGTACGTTTAATTAGAGCACCCGAAGTATGTAGACAAACAAATCTTTCTTTACTGATCAATTTTTATTAACGCGACAGTGAAATAAGCATTCACATAAATACTGTACTCTCTAATGACTCAAGTTAATACTGCATTACCGTTTTTTATATTTTTAATAAAACCAATTCCTTCTAATTTTAAATACATTTACTCCTGAATTCGTGATAATTCGTTATATCGCGCATAGACTTGTGCTAAATGCGTGACACATTTAGAATCACGCATGTGTTTCTGCAAAATGCGTGTTTCAAAATTCCAAAGTCACTTTGAAATGCAGGACCGTCCCGCACGATGCGAGACGGTTGGTAACTATGGTCAACCAATAGTCACATCATGGTCACATATAATGGATTATTGTGCTTTAATGGACTCGATGTTGTACTAAAATCAAACCTAGCCCACTTTAGTCAAGTTAATGTTGCCACGCTTCGGCGACGACCACGGACGAAACTTATCGGTCTGACTGTGCATTCCACAGCACATTCCGTATGCAGGTTGGTTTGTATACTGATATTCGTCCTTATTCTAGGTGGGGATATTGAGATAAGCCCAGGTCCTCGCTACAAATTTCCTTGCAGAACGTTTAGTAAACCAGTGAAGCCCAACCAAACGGGGCTAAAATGTGCTAGCTGAAATTGGTGGTTCCATACTAGGTGTCAAGATAAGTATCGAACATCGAATATGCCCGTTTATATGATTGTCCTGACGAGCTCTGGTTCTGTGGAGTTTTCTAACTCTTTTTTTGAGTCTAGTATATTAAACACCAGTACCGATTCAATAACTAGTGTAAGCATCTCACCATCAGACTTATCTGGAACTTCATTACCATCTTCTAGTACTCGTTCGACACTAAAGTTGAGGCAGGTCTTGCAAACTCTGATCATCATATAGTGACATTTAGAATACGCGGGTCTCCTGGTAAGCTTCCAAACGTAGCCCGTGAATTTCATTGGCTCCGTGGAAATTACTTGACTTCACTGACATCAATGTGGCATGGGATCAATTTTCGGATTTCTTTTCCGCATGTGTCAATGATAGTATTCAAGTTCGTCGTTCGCGTAAAAAAACCACAACCCTGGATTTTGCCAGAAGTTCATAAGCAAAAATTCAAAATGAATAAATAGTGAATGTTTATGAGTGCAATGGAAAGAATATCCCATGGAGATGGGCTGCCCCACTCGGCAAGGCGATGCCCAGCCGATTGTAAGAGTCCACACCTTTCAACGAATTACTCACCCATTACACCAACACTCGAGACATTCATTGTTAGCCTAAAGTTGTAATACACCTAAAATCGTCCTTGCCATTTGATACTGTATAGGATGAAAGTGTGTAGAGTTTGTTGAGATTTGGAAACTAAATAATCAATCAACCAGTCAATATTATAAATATTTGAGAAAACCAGTCAATATCAATCAATCACTTCTTAATTTAACTAATCAATTTGTAAATAAATCTACACAAATCTCCAAATTTGGACAATTAATGGGCCTTGTCTTACAATATAAAATATATGGTTCTTCCGTACATACCGTATATCTCATTAATATCTTCGACATTCGGAAGAAGGTCGTCGACGTTCGGCGACCAAAATGCGTCCTTCTCTTCGCAATCAAACTTAATGACACGATTTCCTTGGAATAACTTCTTATTAAAAAACAATGTAACCTAAAAAAATAAATAAATTAATGAACAGTTTTCTGTGCTATAATATCAAATTGCTACATTTGATTTATTTAAAGTTAAGTGAAAAACAATTTTATTTAACAAACTGTAAGTTTGATCATTCTTGATATTGGCGTATTATTAAAGTACGATTATTATTATTATTATTATTATTATTATTATTATTATATTTATTATCATTATTATCATTATTATTATTATTATTATTATTATTATTATATGCATTAATGGAGGTTGAATTGTTTCTATAGGGCCTATAACAAAATTCTAGGCCATCGTGTACTAATTGTCTGTAACTTGATGGGAGGTAGCTCTGTAGGTAGTGGAGAGTAAACTGCAACAGGGTGGATCTAATAGACCAATCGAAGATGTTTCCTTTCCTATTGGGGATCGAGCAGTGGAGGCGCCAACGCGGAAGAGGAGGAACGGATATTCCAACGGGATACCATGGATACAACGTCGGTTAAGAAGCCAATCACCTGGAAACGTTGTTTTTAAAAAGCATTTTTAAAGGATGAGAGTGCCATCTGTAGGTGCCTATTCTTAAAATTTGTTTTAACCATGATGAGGCTGTTGTGGTCTTTGATCTTTCGTTGGAGAATTTTTTTCTCCCGTGACGGGGATTTTGTCGGGAATCTCTGGCGCCACTACTGGGATCCAGATAGAGCTTCCATTATAACTTTCTTTTATCACAAAGCTGTTACGTTTTGTTTTTTAGCGATACTGCTTCAAAAAAAGGAAAATAAAATCAAAATATATAGGAATATTGGCATCAACGCAATATAATTTGCACTAACTTTCTGAATGGCAACATGCCCTGCAACATACAGCGCTCCGAGCAAATTATCTTTAGCATCACTATCATCAATAGGCTTCCCGTCATTATTGAACATAGGTTTTTGAGAACCGGTTAAGACGATCGGCTTGCAAGTCTTCCCAAACATGAACGAAAGCGCCGATGACGTATACGCCATGGTATCGGTACCGTGCAAAATCACGAACCCACCAAAGGCATCATACTTCTTTTGGATCAATTCGGCCATTTTATTCCAATCTTCGATATTTATGTTGCTCGAGTCTTTAAGCTCTTCATATTCATAGACTTCGTAGATTATTTGGTTACTTCCACGTTTTCTGAAAACATAGTTTTGTATTAAGCACATCTTTTAATCTAAAAGAATTTCATCTGGCTTCATAGAGTATAATAGGAAAATCTAATAATATTAATCACCGTTTAATATTGCATCATAATTATATATATATATATATATATATATACATATATATATATATATATATATAGGCCTATATATAACAGCCTATTTCCTACCATAAGGAAAAACGTTAACAATGGAGAGGGTTATACATACATACATAAACATATATAACACAGGGCCTATATAATATATATATATATAATATATATATATATATAATGTATATATAATGTTTGTATTGCTGCAATGAATAAAATAAATAATAAAATATATATACGCCATACAGGACTGTAAAATATTGATGCAAAAGGTAGGTAATGATGTAACATACGGGAGAGCATAGGTATTTGGCGTCGTCTGAACGTAATTGTCATCGCTGAAATATCTTTTGAGTGGTGAGTTTAGGACACGTTTGAAAAAACCTCCTTCTGGTCCTCTGCCTAAATAGGAGAGTGTAAATTAGTTAGTACAGTACTTATTTATGATATTATCTATGGTATAAATCAATCAGTTTTTGCAAGAAACTGATTTCAGGTTCTTTATAGCGTTACTTGGATAATGTCGATTTGCTATGTCAACTGTTTTAAGAGCAGATGAGCTTGTCGTTTACCTTTCTTCACTAGACCATACTAGACTAAGACAAGTGTTCTTCAGGCACTTTTAATGACTTTATAAAGTTTAAAGTTTCTTTAAAGAAAGGGCTATCACACTGACACTTTTTCTGCGAGCACTATGGTTTCCAGTGAATTAGGATGTTGTCTTCTTGTCGGAGACATTAATGGAATCTGATAATTCAAATAACTATTGATCTTCCTTTCGATTATATACATGATGAAGTATTATTAAGAAGAAATAGATACGAAGGAACCTGATAGTCATGGAAAAGCACTTATCGAATTATGGAAATATACAAGTTTCTAACCAACGGTAGAAAACTAGGTGATCTCTCCGGATCATACACTTCATGCTATAAACATTCATGCAGACACAGTACAATTGATTACATGGTATACGATATAAATTTGTTCAGGCTAGTATCTTTTTTTGAAGTACATTCATCAATGCCCTTTTCAATACATTGTATAATATCATATGTTATTGATTGATAAATGTATTACACGGATTGTAATAAGGATCAAGAAAACTTCCTTGAAGAGCTACCTAAACAACATCACTGGTCTGAAACTTTCGAAACTCGTTGGAAACACGCGTTAGATCTGCTTGAATTTCAATGCAAAATTTAAAAGATATGTTACAGATTAGGCAGCGTGAACGGTGACATTTCCTTCGATGAAAGTATACACTAAATAGAGAACGTGTTTACTCAATAGGACTTCATAGTAAAAATATATAGAAAACCAAACAAAAATAGAAAAAATAAAAGTTATAAAAACAAAAAATGGTATGATAAAGACTGTGATTTCTTATATCGTAACATCAGGAACAATAAAGACAAAAAATTACAATATAGTTTTAATACACAGTACAATATTTTGAAAAAAAAATTTCACAAATATTAAGAAAAGAAACTTTAGGAATACATTATTCGATAAATTAGATAATCTTAAGAATGATAATCCTAAGGCTCTGAGGGAGGTCTTCAACTAAGTGAAAAAAAAAAAAAAATCCGATTAATCCCAAAATTTGGTTGGAACATTTTACAAAGCTAATGAATAGACACATTAGACACAAAAATAGATACTTTGAAAATTTTATTAATTTTAATTATGCAAATAATGTTAATGATAATGTTAATGAAATCAATCAAGACATAACGAACTCTGAAGTTGTTGTGGCGTCCCAAAAATTAAAGAAAGGAAAGTCAGCCGGTATCGACGGCATAAAAAATGAAATGATTAAATTAAGCATCTATCCTTTTTTAAATTGAATAACTTCTTCATTTAACAACTACTTGAAATCCTTTTCCGAGTGTATGGAGAACTAGCAAACTTACTGTAATCCATAAAAAAGGAGATAAATACTTTCCTAAAAATTATAGAGGCATTTCTGTAGGAAGTAATCTCAAATTATTCTGTATCGTACTCCTCAACAGGCTCAATATTTTAACCGACGGAAAACAAACTATCCCTAATAATCAAATCGGTTTTAAAAAGTAATAGAGAACAAGTGACCATATCCTTTTTCTGAAAACAACAATAAATAAGTACATCAACCGCGCTTGTAAAAGGTCTTATCTTTTTGTTTGTTTTATTGATTTTTCAGCCGCCTTCGACACTGTATGTACTTTTTAAGTTATTCAAAATTGGCGTACGTGGTCACATTTTTAATGTTTTATAAAACATGTACACTAATGTTAATGTATCTTTTTGTTTAAAATTGAATGGAATGATCACCAAAACTTTTGGATCTTTGGTTGGGGTCCCGGTCAAGCAAGGATGCGTTCTTAGTCCTTTGTTATTTAACGTTTTTCTTCATGACTTAACCTCAATTTTTGATGAGACATGTGATCCAGTATTTATTAACGAAAAGTCATTAATTGCTTACTATATGCAGATGACTCGGTTAATGTCAGAGTCAAGTGGGTTTACGCTTTAAACAAATTCAATTTCAATTCAATTTCAATATAATGTTTATTTCCACATCACATCATCAATATCAATACAAAATACATAGACAGAACATTTTGAATAAAGTGGAAAAAGGGTCGCCACAACAAGCAAGCTTTATAACGGGCGCCCATTGATTATGAAATAAAATTAACTACTATATCACAAAAGAATAAATTTTATAAATAAAGTAACA